TGTATGTAGATTAAGAGTCGATTAGGTAATTTAGTAGCTAAAGCTAAATCCCGTTCATTAAGCGTTCAATTGCAATGCAACTGCAATGACTTAGACAATGAATGCTCCATGAGCACATGAATGTGAAAAAATAAAATATGAAATAAAATAAGGAAATAAAGTGCATTGCAAAAAATCTTATACAAATTTTAAATTACATATGTTATAAAATTAATATATTAAACTCATTGAAAATTGAGTGAATATTGAAGAACTATTGGAAGTAGCTGAAAGGCCTCATAAAGCTTCCGAGATCTCGCTCAGAATGTATAGTCAAGTCGATATACCCCTCGCTTTTTGTGTGTCTTTCTTATTGCAACATTTCAAGGCTTTTGATACTGCAGGAGGAGCAGGCACAGGCAGACACAGTGTGTTTCTATAATTTAAAAAAAATGCTTATCCATTTTTAATGACAACAAGGTTATAATTCTTGAAAGTGTAATATTTTGGAAAATCTTCTCGAAGTGTTTATGAGTATGTTTCTCCTATAAAAAAGTATATCTACTTTATTTAAATTAATAATATAAATATACTTTATTTAAATTAATATAGGAACAATATTTATGCAACTTTTCCATTTTGATCTTCATTGTTTATGGCATTTTGTTATGTAGTGCAAAATGTTGACGCAAAGAGCGACAACGACGACGGAGATGATGGATGCAATCTGACGCTGGCGTTAGCTTGGTCAGCTGGGCACTAATTACAGCACATTAAAAGCAACAGCAACAGCAATATCAAAAAGAACAAGTTGAGAAAGCGAAGAGTAAAACGATGCGGTATATACATTGCGCATACGCCACGTGCGGCGGTGCTTCATTTTTATTTGGCGTTAATTACAGACATAATTTATGCAAGTCGTTCAGTCAATGCTGTCGCCTAGTTATGTAATTTCCAAGTGCGAATATATAGAAATAAGTGTTCCGTTTGTATCTGTGTGTAAATGTTCGGTGCCACACAGCTGGGCAGCCAAGTGTAAAGCTTCAGGCTTTAGGCACATCTTGAATGTGCAAACAGGCGTGCAATTGAGAAAAAAGAAAACCGACTGAATGACAGAGAGACAGAGAACTGACACACAATGCAGCCAACTGATAGAAGCTTAGACGTTGGCCAAATAAACCAGCTAAAAGCAACGGCTACAATTGCGTCAACTCTTCACGCATAACAAAAGCGTGGGCGACAAAGTGAATGGGCAACGCTTTCAATTAAAATGACAAAAGACGAACAGAAAAGTGCCAAGCAACATTGGCTGACTGCTAGTGAGGCAAAAGGCAAAAGGATTGCGTTCAATTGGCTCTAAGTCAACAATCAAATTTCATGCCTAAGCCGCTTACTTCAACATTTTCAATGGCCATATACCAAAACTAATTGGGCGTGTCGGCCCCTTAGCTGATACATATAATAAATAATACAGTTTATTTGAATATCCTTTTCGCCATGCCGCCCATGGAGCGCTAAATACACTCTTCGTGAAATGCTTAATAAATTATGAGAAAGTAGAAAAAAAAGATAGGCGCGGCAAATTAGCCAACGCATAAATTTGTGCCTGGCATGCCATATCTATTGATTCGTTTAAATTTACGATCTTATCTATGAACTAAACTTAAGAGGATATGTGTAGAGCAGCTCTGTGCCATAAGCTTCTCACATTGTAAATCTCTCTAGATAGTCTTGATATTAAAAGATCTCGAACTCATATTTAAGGCGTAAGTCTTTAAGGACTTAGGACTTAGACTCGATTACGAAGTTATCGAACTGTGTTCGGAAGTATTTTGGTTCATTTGCTTTCCTGCTGCTAACAATATTTTCACTTCATTTCGTTGTGTTGAATGGCTTTCATATTCTCAATTGCCCCATGAAATCTAATTTGGCCAGGCACGCGAAATGCAAAAAGCAAAAGCAGCGAAAAATTGCCAACTGCAAATGTGCGCTGAGTGTTTCGGCTTTTTCGTTTTCGCCATCCGCCATAAAATTTAATAATGGCAATTTAAAGCAGACCATGCCTCAGAGATTAGATCTATGCGCTTTTCATTCAATTGCACTGGGCAGGCAGCTCAATTAGATAATTGTGGTCGGTGGCTAGATGGCTTTAAGAGCTGTGTAATTTCCGCTGAAAAGTATGCTATGATTTAAGCACGTGAACGAACCGCCCGGAGGGTGCAGAAAAACAGCTGTCTGGGCCATAAAACGCAACTACGCCCTGGCAAGCAATTACCGTTTAGATATGCCTGTTCTCTGTAAGGCAGCATATGAGAGCGGAGGGGGTGGACCACACAGCAATAACAGCAAACAAGAAGAAGACCAAAAAAAACAACGGGCTGTAACTGAGACGTCCAGTCGGAAGGGTGCTCGAAAGTCGCGTAGAATGAGAAGCAGCCCTTAGAAATATGCGTGACTGTCTGTCTTAATGTGTGTGTGGGTGTGTGTGTGGGTGGCAGAGTGAAAGTGAGCGTCAGAAGTGACACATAAAGCTCATAAATTGTCGCACACTCAATATGCAAAAGGGAGGGCACTAAGCGAGGGGGAGGGGTAAGGGTAGGAGCAGGTGAGGGCTGTAAGTCGGTAAAATCAATAACGATTGCCACGTCAGTTGATGGCGCTGGCAAATGACCCACATGCCCCAGCCCAAGTGGCTTTCAAACGATGACAGACAACTGTCAACTAAAAAATTAGCCGAAACAAAAAATAAAATTATATTTGTTTCTATGTGCAACAAATATAAGGCGTACGAACTGCCAAGTCTGTAAATTGGCCAAAATTCACATTATGGCTAAAGAATAGTTCATTCAGAATCGTGTAAGGTGCTCGATAAAGGAGCTTGATAGAGAAATATCTGTAAAATTTGTAGCGCACCTTATTTATATTATTAAACATATACATCTATCGCATATATTGTATATGCTTTGAGCCCTTGCTTGAACGCTTCGTTTAAAATGCAATGCAAAACCCAACAGCAGACTATTCCAATTTCCATTCCCAGCGGAAAATTAAACGCAAAAAGAAAATGGCGCATAAATTTGGAAAAGCTGTCGAAAAAGCAGCAGCAGCAGACGTCATCGGAAGCAGCAGCGTAGTCAAAAGGAGCAACAGGGGGCGGCCAAAGGATATGCTATTAATAAACGTTAAGGAGACTAGGAGTAGGAGGAAATGGTAGCCAGAGCCGAAATGAAAGACACTTAAAGGCTTCTGTAAATATTTAAATAGTTTGAAAAACTACATTAACTGAGAGTATCTAAAAGGCAAAACTTTATTAATTCTGAATAGCAGCGTCCTCCTCCGGCTAAGTATAGAATCCGGATAGAGTAGTGGAACAAGGAATTTTTTCTCTCAAATAATATTTATTAAATGTCTACTGCTTTATATTGATTGTTGGAAGGGAATAATATAAAATTGACATTGAAATTTATAATTGTATAAGATATGATTTTCCTTAAGCTTCCAACTTTCATTTGTGGCTAATCTGCAGAGAGTGTCAGCAAAAACTCCCAGATATATTGCAACTACTCGTTTTCATACGCTCTTAGCTGCTTTTAATTTTCAGTGCAGCTTATGGGGACTTCTTTTAGGAATTAACTTAACTTATGCTTAATGTCTATATTAGTAAGGCAATACTGTAGTTCACGCCTCTCAATATACAAGAGATGTGCGTTGAGTGGACCTTCACAATTATTTTATCGCCTGTCTATGCGGTCCACACGCATGGCCTGGGCTATACGTTTAAAGCTGTTTTCTTTGTGCTACCTCCATTGCTGCCTGCCCTGGCTAGTGCGTTGGTCGCTTTTCAGATTTTACTATATCAACCGTCTGCCGCAAACGCAATCGTAATATATTTTGTATGGAAACAACAAATTCCATGCATGTGCGGCTCGAAGCGGGTTTTCAGTTCAGTTGGCCTTTACAGTTTTGGCCAAAGGCCCCTCGAGGCAGAGCCCCGGACCAATGGCAAACTAATTTCATGCACAAAATGTAATTTGGCTGGCCAGTAAAACAACTACTACAACAACAGCTGCACAAGCTGCAAAAGGCTATAAACAACTGGCCCGCGGTGCGCTTTAGCGTGTTTTAGCTTCTTATTTTAGCTGTTTGTTAGCTATCGTGTCGAGCTATTTAAAATTGTTGTTGTATAATTTTTAATTTAGTCACTAATTTATGCAGTGGCTCGCAGCACGTGCTCAGTGGGCGGAGGGAACACACTTACCACCGGCACTGCTGGAAGTCAGACGTGGCCAACATATTTGTGTAATTGCCGCTTTTAATTGACAGCCAACCGGGGCTCGAGTTTGAGCTGAGGTCAGCTCTTTCAGCTAGACAATTAGGCCTGCGTAGTTGAGAGTCCTTTCGAAATAGCTGACCCTAATTCATGAGACCATTAAGAGCGTGTAATATAAGCGAAAACAAGTGCTGAAAATCAGTAAAAAAGGTGAATGAACATGCGAGTAACCAAATGGGGAGTGATCGACTATGACTTAACATGGCTAGCAAGTGTGTACATAAGCATTATGCAGTCGGTTTGGCTTCCTTTAACCTCTTGCATAAAACAAATACACACATCTCATATTCTATTTGATCACAGGGTATACACACTCATTTCATATAAAAACTTATGGCAAACTAATTAGCTAATTACCATATTTTTAAGTTGTGTAAGCGGAAAGGGGAACAACTAAATGCCCTAGCAGGGAAAATCACCTAGTACAGAAGATGAACTATTTAATTATTTACTGCGTCCCTTAAGAGCCAATCTTAAATTTAGAATTTTTGAATTTGTTTATTTGTTTATGCAAACGTATTTCGTTCTCTGACAAATTATTAGAAAAATTAAAGACGACAAATGAGAATCTTGGCGAACCTTATTTAATTTATGAACGAGTTTATTCATCAATAGTATTAAACATATATTACCATATGTAACTATGCATTTCCAACTATCACTTACCTTTAATTTATTCTCTTTCTTGCAGTATTCGCAGCAGTCGCGGCTCGCTCGATAGCATTGGGACCGCTGCCAACGGCAGTTCGGCGGCCAGCCAGGCCAGCTCTAGTGGCGGCTCCAGTACCAATCACAGCAACATCAACAACAACAACAACAACAATAATAATAACAACAACAACAACAGCAAAATGGATGGCAGTCCACATCATCGTCCGGGCTCACGAAATGGTCGCGACAACTGGAGCAAAATGCCAGAGCCGCTCAACGGACACAAAGCGGATAAATCGGAGAAGTCGTCGCCGTCGCGTCGCAGCATGGGCGGCGGCAGCGGCAGCGGCAGCTCTTCCAAGCAGAGTTCGCCCTCGGCCTCCTCTTCGCGCACTAAGGGTGTGCCGCCTAGCTTTGGCTATGTGAAGCGTGCGAATGGCAGCATTGCCTCCACGGCGGAGCAACAGAACATAGCCATGTTGATGGCTGTGGGCGGTGGCCAAGGCATGGTCAATGGCCTGTCCTGCGGACGCACCGCTCACGTGTCTGCGGTGCCACGCACTGCCAGCGGGCGCAAGGTGACAGGCGGCACCCAAACACTGCCCAACGACATGAACAGTGAGTTGTAAGACACTCTCATAGTATTATTTATTAATGTGAGTTTTCCTTTTAGAGTTGCCTCCGAATACACAGCATCGCAGCTTCTCGTTGACGGGTCCCACAGCCACACAGCTGAGTCAGTCCATACGCGAGCGTCTGGCCACTGGTTCGCACAGTCTGCCCAAGCCAGGCAGCGATATGCATGTATTTCAGCACAGGTAAAATAGTTGGGATTAACAATTTAGCAATATGTATAATGAAATAGTTAATACTATTTAGCTGATCTAAAAATCTAGCTAGTTAATCACTTAGTCAAACATTTATTAATTGATTTAATAATCAAATGTTCATCTTGATTAGTTAAACTAGATTGTAAGTCAGTCAATCAAGAGTCAAACTATTTTATAAGTTAGTCACTTAGCTTAAGCTTCAGTCAGTCAATCAGTAGCTAAGTCAGTCTGTCAATCAAACTAATCGACAGAAAGTCAGCAAGTCTATCAGTCAGTCACAACTCAAAACTTTTAATTAGTCATATCTATGTCTAAGTCACTAAATAAATAAACCAATCAAAGACTCAATACATCAATCAATGCATCCATCACTCAAACATTCTATCAGTCAATAAATCGTACACCAATTTGCCAATCAAATCACCAGTTAGTTAATTATTAATAAGTAATTTAAACTATAAAATTATTAATCATTCAGCAAATCATTCACTCACTCAGGGAGTCAATTGCTCAAAGCAATATTCAATTAGGCAGCCAGTTATTAAAATACTTAACGAGGTCTTCAGAAAGATTGACTAACAATAGTGAATATGAATAGTTCAAATATTCTGTCTTCAGTCAATCATTTCATGTCGAGTCAATCATTTGGTAGCTAGTTCTATAACAGTTATTCATTCTATTAGTGAATCAAACAATATCATTAAATTCGTGTCTTTATTTATATGATACTTGATCTACTCAACAGAATCTCAACACGTGGAGGAGGCACTCGTCACGATGGTTCGCTCTCTGACACACAGACCTATGCCGAGGTCAAGCCCGAGTACAGCTCGTATGCCATGTGGCTGAAGCATAGCAACACAGCAGGTAGTCGCCTCTCCGACGGCGACTCTATTGATCAGATGCAGATTGGCTCGCCTGCAATGACTAGACACGGACACAAGATGCTGCACAATCGTGGCTCAGGCACAGTGGGGCAAATGCCCGTGCAAGGCAACGAATCGCCGTATGTGCAGAGTCCGCGCATGAATCGCAGCAATAGCATTAGGTGAGTCGCCTTTTTGAATAATTTTTATATGATAGAAGCATGTATTAGCGCCCTCTGTCTCTCTCTCTCTCTCCCTTCCTTCTTCTCTTTCTTTCTTTTTAACTCTGAAACTTTTCAACGCACTCCCAACCTCCATTTTCTGCTAAACCTTTTAAATGCATTTTAAAAGCTATCTGAAAGAACGGACATATCCAAGGTGACTTTGCCTCACAATCTCCACACTTTTCTGTATATATGCATGCGTGTGAGTGTTTGTGTGTGTGCCACGCCCATTATTAACGTCGCAAACAATCAGCTTCAGTCGGCACTTGTCTCGCTTGTCTCGCACTCTAAGAGCGGTTGCCGCTTGCAATTCACATTTGCATGTTGCACACTTTGCAGCTTCTCTAAAAAATGCGTGTAAGTGTGTGTGTGTGATGTGTGTGTGTTGTGTGTGTGTGTGATGTGTGCTGTGTGCTGTAGCAGACGTCTGACTTCAGACATGCTGCTCCTTATAACCTGAACTATAGTCGGCTATGCAGTCATTAGCCTGAGATATAGTTATATAGCTATACAGTCTATGAAAATAAATTTATCTTATTAATTGATATAACGACATAGACTTAGATATAACTACCTGGAAATTGCATATTTGTATACTATATGCCTCTAATATTGACAAATCCTTTACTCTGAATATATGAATTAAAAAAAAAAAGACTTTTTCTTTTTACAAAGTTGAAAAGTTGAAAGTCTGCATTCATTTTATATAAGTTCCTTTCCTTTTAAGGAAATACTTTATTTTTCTGTTTTAAATATTGAAATTGTTAAGCTTTAATAGAATCTGGAGTTAGTCTTCCAATAGCGTCCAATAAACTTGTTCTATTGCCAAACTATAAAGTCAAGTCTTCCAAAACATTTAAGTCAGCAAATTCTAGCTTAGAGTTCTGAGATAAATAATCTAAATTTGTTTTGCTTTCCGAATTGCTATAAAATATTCTTTTATTTCTCTTAGTTAAATGAACTTTTTTACATAGCAAAACATAATCTCATGCGAATAATAAATATATATATATATATATATATATAAATTATATAAGACTTTCGTTTATTAGTGCCTCTCAGATTTACGTAATCGCCTTTAATTTTTTATTTTATTATTTGATTTATAAATCACATCAAAGTTGAAAGAGTACAAACATTTTCAACTATTTGTTTGAGTTTTCACAAATTGCTTGGCCTGTCAGCCTGCATACCGACGAGTGTGTGTGTGCGCGTGGGTCTGAATGTGTGAGTGCTTAAGTGTGTGTAGTTGTGTGTGTGTGTTTAATGAGCTTGTTTTTCACGTGCGCGCCTGCAAGTATGCAAACAATTTGCAATAGTTTAGTTTTTACGGAAACGGCGGGGCACTCGACATGTGCTTGCTGTTGCCATGTCTCGTGTTGCATATTTTAAAGCTGCAGTGAAACCCAGCGACAGGCGATAGAGCGTTCGTCCAACTAGTTAAAGGGAAACTGTTTCAAGAGCCGGCATCCACGCCAGGCAAGCAGACAACGTGAAAGTTTGTATGAAACAGCAAAGTGTGCAAAAAATAAAAACGAAACAGAAAATGAACACGAAATGGAAAACGAAATAGTGGAAGTGGGGAAAACCCAACATATAAGTGTAAATAACAACGTGCTGCAATGGCTGGGGGAGCGTGGGAAACGGGGGAAAAGGGATTATTATTTGACATGTCAATTGGTTTGTGAACCTTTGACTTGGCCATGCAACAGCCACGGCCACAGCCGCAGCTGAACTGAAGTTGCGCCTCGGGGCTGCCATTTTGATGTCGTTGTCGTTATTGTTGTTGTTGTTGTTGTTATTTTCAACTTTATTCTGGCCACATCAGCAATTCGCAATTCACAGTTGGCAGTCGACAGTCGTTCCCCAGCTGAGTTTCGACTCTCAAGTGCTTCATTAAAAATTTTACCAGCAAAGAGCGATAAAAAAAACAACTAGTAAAAAACATAGAAGCTAAATATTCGTGGGTATACGACAGGTAAAGCGAAATTTAAGTAGAAAAATCAAATAGAGATAAAAAATTGATTCTCAAACAGCTTGAATTCAATAAAGTTTTATGTTTCGAAGTTTTCAAAGAGCCTGTTTCGTTGCCAAAAACTGAATAACGTTAAATCTGATTGATTATTTCAGAGGCAACATTTTTTTCTCTAAATTCTTTTTGAATGTCTATTCATTCTATTTTATATTCTATTTCATAAATAATCTTTTAGTTTTTTTACTAGTCTAAACTCCATTCGGGCGCGTCAAATTGAGTTCCCTTCACATAAATTAAAAATATTTGACAAGCAGGCAAAGCTTCTGTTGTCTATATATATAATATAATGCAGTTGTTGTATGGATTAAAAAGATAAATAAAAATAAAGTTATATTCAGCACAAGGCACAGATGCCCTAACGCTAGACCGCATTTCGTTCTCAAGTCCTTCGGCTAGTATCTGTTCAAACAGCTCTCTCACACTCCGCCCACATTTGGCCTTATTGTTTTGCCAGGCAACTAATATGCCAGCCGTTGAGGACTGAACTCTTGCTTTCAATGCATCAATTATGCAGAAGGAAATGGCAAGTGGAAACAACAGCAGTAGCAGCTCGAAAAGCAGAAACCAGTTTTGGTGGCTTGTTATCAAATTTTAGACCACAGCAGAGAAGAGGGCAGAGTCAACACACAGAATTTGTTGGGCAAAAGTCCCAGAGCGTTAAGTAAACGCCCTGAAGCGTAGGAAAAACCCTAACAAACAGACGCACACACACTTGGTAAGGCAGGCAGGAAGGAGCTCTGGCGAGCACACATGACGTATACGTAATATTAGATTTGCATGCGAAATGCCAAAATGCCATTAATGTCAGCTAACAGCACTGAAGGGCAACAGTGGAAGTGGAATAGAAGCTAAAGCGACGCAACACATCGGACAGCACAGATTTGTCCAGCCTAGCCTCTACCCTACTCCTCGCTGCTTCAGCGACCCCATTTTTGTAGTCCAGTGTGAATTTTGTGGTCGTTCGCCCTTAGATTTATGGGTGCACTCAGAGAAAAGTCAAATATGTAAATTGGTTTATATAACTAAATTTATATTGATTTTTAAATACAATTTTAAAAGATTTCTAAAAAATTAATATAATAATAAAACTTATGTCTAAGACTTGAAAGCATTTACAATGATATACTTATTGTCAAACTGTCTGATAAAATTAGTTTTTCTTATTTAGTTAAAATGTGGATACGGTTAAAGATATTCTCATTTTGCGTAGGCCTTATTTTACTCGCTTTTTCGCCAAGTGTATCGTATTATATGACAATTTGTCAAGGGATTTGGCATGTGAGCTATGTGTGCTTTTCTCACTTATGCCTTTATCAGCTCTCTCACACACACACGCATAGCTTTCACTCATGTCAATTTGTCGCTGACGAAAATTTAACGGAAATTTGCGACGAGTATGAAAGTATGCAGCGGCTCTGATTGCGTGCAGATTGGCCTAATAAACTGCACAAACCGCAACGGAAATTTGCAAGCGTCTGGCAAACACTCATTACACCACACCAAACCACAACGCCCACCCACACACAACAGCCTTGTGGCCAACTGTGTTGGCCAAAATATTTTGGGCAACTGGAGCAGCTAGCTGTTAGCTCCACAAGTGCAAAACAAGCTGTATTAACGCTTCATGATATGCAATAAATTAATGCATTATTTAGGCTAAGTATAACTCGACAAATGTATTTAATTTTGCTTAAATTATATTTTATTTGCAATTTATTAACTTTTTATGGCCATTGCGTGTTAAAAGCTTTTCGAGTATTTTGAGCTTTTTTGTCATAAATCAATGCTTAACGTTAATTAACATTACTCAACTATAAACTATATTTAAGTAAAGTGCTGTTTGCTTTTGTGATGTAATTACAAATCAGATTATCTCAACGGCATATTTCTTTATTAATCTTATATTTGGAATGAAATTATCTTTTTGAAATAAAATCGGTCTCAATAATTAAAGTTGAGGTAATATATAGATTCATTCCACAAGTCTTCTGACTCGAATTTTAAGTCTCTTAGACTGTTACTGGCCCAAATCAAAATTCATTTTAAGCAGTTCATCGAAAACTTATTTGGTCACAGTTTAAATCACAGTTTAAATCAGCTTGACTTTGCCAATGCGCATGAACACAATTTGCTTGTCATATTCATAGACATGGATGTCCGTGTCATACATAATTTTGTCATATTAACAGCCACCCACACACCGTCACAACAAGATCCGAAAACTAATCAAATATTTCGCTTTGGCCTTTTGCAATTACTCACAGATCCACGAAATCAGAGAAAATGTATCCCTCGATGCTGAGTCGCGGCGGCGATGTCGAAATCGAGCCTTACTACTGCCTGCCGGTGGGCACCACCAATGGCGTCCTAAGCGCCCAAATGGCCGCCGCAGTGGCCCAGGCTCAGGCGCAGGCTCATGCTCAAGCGCAAGCGGGTAACGGTGCGGGCAGTGCTGCTACAGCGGCAGCTGCTGCTGTCGCCTGGAGTCAGCCCACCTCGCCCACGCCCCTCAATCGTGGCCCCTTTGCCACGGCGGCGACTGCGTTGTCGCCCACACATGGCACAGCGGCAGCGGCTCTGGCAGCGGTGGCAGCTGCAGCAGCAGGCGCCGGACATGGCGGCAGCAATGCATCGCATCGTCTAACATATCCCAAAAAGAATGATGAAGGTAAGTTATGGGGAGCTACAGTGAGAGCTCTTTAAAAGGAATACAGTTTAACAAAAAAGCTGACTAATTGCAGCTGAGTAAATTGCCCTGTAAAGAGTATAAGTAAATAGAATAATAATAATAAATAATAAACTGTCCGTGGACAGAGTTATCACTGTATATATTCTATAGATAAATAAATGTTTTAACTGCTCTCTGATCCCTCTTTCAGTTCATGGCAGCGCCGCCTCTTTGCTATCTGGCGGCAGCTCGTTGTACGGTTCGGCAGAGGAGCGACAGGCGCATGAGATACGGCGATTGAAGCGCGAACTGCAGGATGCACGGGAACAGGTGCTCAGCCTGAGCAGCCAGCTGTCAACCAATGTGAGTAGAACAAATGCCAAGCTTGGCTATTAAATTCGAATACGGTTGAGTGCCTTTCGAGTGTCGTCAAATAAACCTGTGGGATATGAAATAAAGTTTTCTTTACAATAGCAAAATACATGCAGAGTGGCTTGCTATATAGATCAATACATCTATATACTATATATACTATATACTACGAAAGCTTAGGCATAGTCATGAAAGATATAAAAACGTTTTGACTCCTTCCAAATATATCTGAATTGAGAATTTTAAGTGTAACAATGACAATATGCTTTAATGAAGTCCAAGGCTCTTAAATAATATACGAAAATCCACTCTGCTTCCATTTCCACTTGCTAATGCTTGATTTGTAAATGCAAAGACTTCTCAACATTTATTTTTTCCAGCTATCTTTAATAAGCTCAGCTTTGCTTTAAATTAGGAGTCTTCGCGCCCCTCTGTAACCCCTCAGATGGGCAAAGTCTTTTCTTAAACACTCATTGTTTGGCTGTAAATAATTGATCAGCACATATTTTACAAGTATTTTACAACACTGTCACAAAGTTGGCCAATTGCCAGGGGGCGCATTCATCTGCTGCTGCTGCTGTCGTAAAAAGGCTGCAACATTTCGAGGCAGCTGTTGCAACATTTTGCGCATTTCCATTGCCTACTTTGGGGCACGCCTCAAGAATGCGCTTGAAAAGGGCCGTGTAACAATGTTGCGGCTGCTGTACGGTAGTTTAAATTGCTGCAGCATAACTCAGCTCGTGCTTGTGGCCCTCCCGTCTGCCGCTTTCTTTACTCTCTGTCTTATCGGCTGCTGTGAGTGTCGGCGCTCTTCAGCATTCATTCGGTTCGCTTATCGGCGTCGCCGTCGAATCGCATTTTTGTCAGCGCAACTTTTACGGCAAGTTGCCTTCGTGTCATATTCCCAGCGAGGATGTCTGCACTGTCTGCCACGCCAGGCCCCTGGCTTTCTTTTCTTTTGCTGTGTCTCAAGTTGTCAACAGAAGTCACGCAAAAGTCTGATAAACTTCCCAGGCAGTCAGACAAATGGACTGCAAGCGAGAGCTGCAAGCGATGCGTAGGAGGGTAGGAAGAGGCTGGAAGTACTTTAGAAAAGTTTTGCCTACTTTCTGGCAGTTGAAAAATGTTCTCCATATGACCGAGCACAAGTTGACTTTATTGTTGTTTTTGGTTGTGTTTGCTGTTGGATGCGCTCATATCTCGAATAACTCGTCAACAATTTTCTGGCTCACAAATGAAATAAACTTTAAATTGCATTTCATCAAGCACACGCATTGGAAGGGGGAATCAACGATTTTTATTTTATTTTACGTGTTGTTACGTCGTAAAGTCTTTTATGAGGTACTACGACCCCTCAAACCTTGCAGCTATCAAATTTATCGGGGCCAGCCATCCAGCCAGCCAGCCAGCCTGCCATCCATCCAAGCCAGCCAGACATACCATTAGACATTTCTCCAGACAACATAAATCTGTCCCAGCATGACTTTAGATATTGAGTGTGGAAGCGGGTGAGTTGCATTGGGCTATGGTGGGGTTAGCAAGTCCCAAGGTCAAGGCGTACGTGTAAATTGCTTGGTTGATGGCTTTGATGGATTCTCAGTGTGAAATGAGTTTTCTTAGAGAACTATAAATTACTTAAAAGGAGGTTAGGCCTTTGCCAAGTCAGGTTGGCGGTTGTGCTTTAAATTCGACCAGACGCGCTCGTTCAGCACACAATGACAAAGTAGCTTAACGATATTTTGGTAGTCTTCAATTACAGGGTATTTGCCACAATCTCTCCCATTTAGCTCCGCTAACTTACGATGAATTTATGGCACGCGCGAATCGATAAATGCGACAGAGCTTCAATGTGGAATTCGATCATGGAAAACATGAAACAATGCCACGCCTCCAGAATAGCTGACGAGGCGGCAGCGGGAGCAACTGGTTATAGTTAGCTGAGCATGTGAGACAAAGAATGGCAATGAAATGCGTTTTGCCGTTTACTTGTTGCCTGAGACAAAGTCAACTAGCAGAAGAAAATAAATTGCAATGGAGTTATGTCTGGACGGCATTTGCGCTTTTATGGCATTGAGTGGGGTAACAAGGGTGGGGAAGGGGGCCAGTTTGATGAGCCAGCTTTATGTGCATAGCTGGGAATTTATGTGGGTTGCAGCAAAGTGGGTCGACACAGTCGACTCAGTTGCAGCATGAGAAAAAGTTGGCTTGACGACTGACTAAGGAGTGCGTAACGCTTGGCTGAAACCCTATAGACTCCAATGTGGACTAGAATTTTGAAATAATGTATATAATTATGGGAGCACAGCTTAGATGGTAATTCATTCATAGAAAATTCGCTATTCAACTGAACTATTGAACTTATTCAGCAATCAATGAACCATATAGTTCCAGCTCAGACTGCTAGACAATCACTTATGAGCGATTCGTTTTGTTCAATGGAACGATGCGTTCTATTTAGTGCATTAGCTTTTGATTAACAGTTCGATCTTTTGAGTTGACGAACTGTTCTTTGTTTAAAACATAAGAATTAATCAATACAAAGCATTTATAAAACAAAAACTTACTGCTTGCAGCTGCTGAACTTGCTGTACTATTTCACAAAATTACCAATTCCTGACAGAACTAGTTCTGCAAATTTCACTAGAATTCGTAACTGAACAACTGAACTAGCTCTTCAAAAACTTGATAGAATTCGTTCATTTCAAATAGCTCATTTCAAACTTGTTAAATTAGTTAGCAAACTAAAACGAGCGTAGCTTGAAAAGCTTCTCAGCTAACAGAAAAATCATATAAAATTAAATAAATTTCTGTTCTTGTTGAAGCTTTCAGCATTTCCACTTAACGTCTTTATACTTCCCATACAAAATGAAACCGTTTGTGTTAAAACGAATCTGCCTCTTTCTACTTTAATCTCTTATAACTTGTTTGCATTGGCCACAAATATTTTTATCGCCACAAACTCAAAACTCCACGAAACTTGAGCTGAAACATAAAATCGACATAAAATTCTGCTACTGCTTAAACTGTACAAGTTCAGCTATAACCGAGCACTCTTTCAAATCCATTTAATTAAGCCCTGAAATGGCTTTGGCAGCTGCTCAAACTTCTGGCCAACTTTGTTAACTTGGCCAATTGCTGCATGAAAACTTCAAATGTTGCACAATTGCAACTTTTGCCAAGACGAGTTCCCCATGATACTTGAGAAGTCAGTATCAAATACTGATTGTTTTAATGCAATCACAAATGCCACGCCCAGTTTTTATAGCCCCTGCTTGAGGGCAAAGGAGAAAAGCTTTTTAATTGCCCAATGATATACAGGCTGCCTCTCAGCCGAGTCTGTGGTTCAATTGTGCTGGCGCTTAATTAATTTCTGCTATGAGTAATAAACGTCATAAATGCCAATTCGTCTGCCACATAGCCATAGACCCTACGCCTAGCTGCAGCTGTCTGTCCCTCCTTTACCCTGTCTGCCTTGAGCATTCAGCTTTTGTGCGGCATATTATTTGCTATTGGCTTTTTTATTGACAGACATCTTTGCAATTTCACTTTGCGGTCGCAATAGTGGGTGCCTCCTCCTTGCCACCCCCTCTCACACAATAGTGCGTCTACGTCTCTCCTGTCAGGCTGCCATCTGCGTTCGTTGTGTCAGTTTATGGACTTCTCTGGCGTCAGATGCAGCTTAAAGAGTTATAGACGCATTAGATAATCGAATGTATACGATGGAAGCCCCAAAGTGGGAGTTGCAATGGAAAAGGGGGAGAAAAGCTCTGGAAAAATAATTCAAAAATGAATTATCTGTGTACAACAGAAATTCAAGCTTGATTAACACATATAAAGCATATGCGAGGGGTAACTGAACGTTTTTTAATAATAAAAAAAAATAAAAATATAAAATTCATATATAAAATTGTGTATGGAAAGAAGTATTAAATATTTTATTTATATAAATAAGTCATTTTTCTTCATTTTAAAATGTTCAGTTTAAAATGATTGAGGATTAAAGGTATAACTCTATTCACATAGATAATCGAGTTCCTAATTTATGCTAAAGCAGATAGTTGAGATTTCTTAAGGCATATGAAATGGCCAGTATTTAACAATCCATGCAGAGATATTCATCTCAATTATTATTTATATTAAAGACCAAATGGATACTAATCCATGCATCTGCTGTTTCACATTGAAATGCATATCAAGCAAGAGCTCCTTTATGACTTAAATAAATGTATTTATTGCGATAGTTAGATTTATTTATACATGCGCAAGTGTATTCAAACCTTAACATGCTGAAGATAGTTTAATTTATGCTCCAGTTGCATTTTATTTAAGTCTCGCTCATCTCTGGGCTTACGCCCCCAGCTCATAAATAATCTTAAAAGAGTTTTACGCACCCTCCACTCAGACGCTCACACTCTGCACCCGTTCTGTCTGTTATCAGGCTAAGCTTTATGGCAGCTTATGATGCACTCTTGCCAAAATAGCTAAAAATAAAAGCAAAGCTAAAAGGTTACGAAACTTCCAACCTACATCAACTTTTAGCAGAGCAACAGAAACCTCAGTTGCACAATCTTATCGCGAGCCATAAATATTGTAACACATACATATATACTTATATGCGTGTATCAGTGTGTGTAATGCGTATATACGAGTGTATATAAGACACACCACAACCGCAAGCCAAGGCACTTCACTAAATCCAACTAAGTCGTGTCTCGAGCCACGCAACGCGCCCATTTATCACGCACTCCAAATTGACCCGAGTGACCGATGATAGAAGCACCTCCCACTTTGCCCCGCCAAACCCGCTCACAGTCAACTTCTACGCACGCCTCGTCCAGCGATAAGACAAAGAATCGTCACTATTAGTGGATCTACGCACACGCATTGAGTCTTTGAGCAAGGCTTCGAGCCAAGCATTCATTCGCAAACAGCAGCAACAGCAAAGAGAGGCAGCGAGACGAGGAGCACTTCTTATGGTAGTTGATTTTAAT